CTCAGGATATTATGTAAGCTATTATCACCCCTATGTTTTGAGCTGACGCTTTGAGCTGACGCCTATGAGTCTGATTTCTCACGAGCTTCTTTTAAGTTTTGCTTCCTCAATCGTTGTAAAAACGTAAAAAAACTGTTTCAGAAATCGTTTGCAGACACGAGCTTCAAGCAAGCAATCGTCCCTTACAAGACACGAGGATAAACCGCGAAGTTCCGAGTCGCATCTGATAGCCTCATTGTTTTTATCATCGTATTTTCAGGAAAATTTCGATTCTCAACAACAGCGCGGGCTTTCAAGTGTAATGGCGGCTAGCGCTGTTTGCCCAGGATCGAACCGCGAGTGAATGAACGGCAGCGACGTCGATGAACGGTGTTGAGTAAGATCAAAGACGTCAAGACTGCTAAGAATGTCAACATTTTTGTGGCTTACCTGTCTTAATAATAATAATAATAATGATAATAATAATAGATGTGTACAATGAGAGCACTTAACCTTACATTGCGAAATATCCGCAACGTGTTAATACGATTAAGACTATGTATTTTTGTCTAAGATGAATTTCCTTTGTTCGTCCATATTCCCACAAACCCTCCCGCCATAAAGAGCTTGCATGCAAACATTACCACATGTAAAACATTAGCTACAAACATTATTTAAAAGATTCAGGTATGATTTCAAAATCTCCCATATTTTATACACTTTGAAAGATGTTTGCTATGCTTTCGTTTCCCGATAAACATGTTTTCGTGGGACGATAGGAGTTCTTGGGTGTAGACCCACCTCTTTCGGCAGCGTGTGAGGGAGGGGAGGGGAAGGAGCGTTGCTTTCCCCAAGGAGAAAATACGATGTCTTCAACGTGTGAAATCTTTGAAATGTGCTGGTGGTAAAAATGCAACATCTACGGTATAAGTTGTGATTACAAGTGGTAGGAAATAACATTCATTGCCCCATACTTAACACTAGGGTCGTCCATTTTCACTAAACAAATAAAGTAAATACCTTCTCCATGCTGAGCTTCCCTACAATTTTCCCGCCAAACGTAATAACAAAAATTAGTTTACTTTTCTCAAATATATAAAGGTCAGTCGTTGTTGCAAGGTGAACGACCTTCATCCTGATTTATGTTGACGCAACAGCGATTTTGTTTACATGCGAGGTCTTGTGCTAAGCCGGAGCATACGTTAAAGTAATCTCCTAATATTTACATTACGAGTTGGCGTTACTACGTAGGTTTATTCAGCCATCTTCATCGTTCTTCGATGAGTTGCTGATTACCCTGACGATGCGAACGTTCGGCGTGATACCAAGCAAATCTTTGTTGTTTGGTCTAAACCTAATTTCGCCTTCTGTAACCCGAGTGAGTTTATGTACATCGCCTGGTGGCTATTGGTGAAGACGGTATGAAGATGCAAAGAAAATGAAATGTCATCATCTAAGGGTCCTGCGTTTCAATGTTTAGACAATGTTTATAGAACAAATCATACAGGAATGCAAACCAATTTTCCTTTTTATCAGGGTAGCTGATGGATTGGATAGAATGAATACAGCAATCTTTTCTCCTGCGTATCGCTTCCTCTGAGCGTTTCTATCTTCAATCCTTGCAAAGCCAGCACGTGTATAGTAGATTTAAAGTACTTCTCACCTAATATAGTGTTGAGGGGGCATTCGTTGCTATGCGTCTGGTGTGGGTATAGACCTATTTGTTGATTTGTTGAGGGATCTATCTAGAATTCATCGACTTAGTTACTAATTTACAATTTCAATCAATACACCAGGAACAAAAATCATAAACACGGATTTTCATTAAGGAACATCCTGCATGTATATGAGTGGAATAAAGATTGTATCACTCGAAGACATGTTTCGAAACAAAATCCAGCTTCACAGAATTGCAATCTTAAATTGAATATTGTTAGATAATGATTTAAGGAATTAAGACAATGGTTTCAGATCAAGGCGGGAACTGTAATCATTTTACCAAAGTGAATACAAAAGTTGACATTTACATAACTTTCATACAAAAACCGGCTTTCGTTGATTCAAATTCAGAAGCTGCACAATTCGTGTAAAGGAAAATCATTTGCACGACTTCAATATTCATTTTTATACATCTCGTTTGCATGGTATTTAGCGGATCAATAGCTACTGTAAACCATTGTGAATAAGGCTTTTTATAAATGCCCTCGGCGAGCGTTGATTTTATGAACTAAATTTAGAATGAAAACCTATCGTCACCAAAAGTGCTAGATTTCAAAGACCTATATTTTCCACATTTTCAATATTTCTCAATCAAACTTCCCGATTTTACTTATTTTGGAGTGCTCTTTTTGACTGTGAACCCCAGTGTCGAAAAATTCTCTCAGTTTTAGATTTAGTTTTAGAAAGGGATGGTTAATCAAGTTAAGGACGGACGTCCTTATGTCCGGAGTCAGAGAGTTCTCGTTCATCACCTCGGGTTGAGTATTGCCTTTAATTGTAGCTAATCTAATTAGCACTCAATGTTTTGGTTACAAAATCTCCTGTGAGCTAAAAAAAACGCTGGCGCAGGTGTGCTTTTCATTACAACCTCAATGGAATAAGATAATATTTCTATAAACCTTCATCATGGGGTTGAACGCATAGCACATGTTTATATTTCGTAACTTACATATTCCGTTTTGATGTTATTCTATCAACAAAACAAGACCTAAGGCCACAAAGGTGGGAGAAAGAATGCGGAAGAGGAAAACATCAACTGAATTTAGTTTACCTGCGACACACAATCCCCATTCTCTGGGGTTATCTGGTGTGTCAAGCTGATTTTAAAAAAAGAGACTATAGAGTTAGGTTTATGTCCAGCTGTGAAACTATGTTTGCGATTGCTTTTAATTCTGAAAAGCATTATACTTTGTAGGCAATCAGTTTCTTTGTTTACTGCTGTTGTCATGGAAAATCGCCATTGAATGAAAACCAGCCGTAACAATGACATTCTTCAATGTTTCGTATATCATATTCACCGTCCCATGTCAACACATAACTTGACATTTCAAGAATATGTGTCACGTTTGAAGGCATTTTCTATCTCTAAACGTGATGGCAAATATTGTGTAATATTCGCCAAATTCTGTTGTGTTGTATCCACCTTTGGAAGACATTCTTGTCCGTTCTCTGTTCCTCGAATCGTTTTTTTTTCTGCCTCTTTTACATTTGTTCGACTGCATGTGTGTGGTGGTTGCCAAGAATCCACCTAATCCACATTATTACTAAAATATGTGGAACTGTTTTAATTGTTTGCACATTTTTCTTCAAGTCGCTCTAAACAACAATGCAATTCAAAGCAGAAAGATGAAGCATTTTATGTTTGTATCGCAAACATTCCTGGTTCATCTTTAAACTAAACACGTTTGCTTTCTTTCCTGTCTGCTTTCGACGCCCACTGACCGCCCAGAAAATCTGAAGTTGCTCACCTTATATGTACAGTATGTTCATTTGATATTCTGGCGACATTTGTCATTAATTCACGAATTGAGGTGGGCGAAATAATTGGAAACCAGAAAAGAAATTTTAGACTTGTTTGACCACTTTGCTGAATAATTGTGCATGACACAGAGCGCGTGTAGCCCACACAAAACCCACGCACTTGTCACGAATAGGGCACGTTTCCTGCATTCAAAAGTCGTATTCATGTTTAACTTCTGTTCTGATCAATTTTTTTACATAATTGAGCATGCAAATTACTAAGATTATCAATTTTGTTATTTTGTTCCAAACCTTGACCATTGTATTTTAGGTGCCTTCCTCATTCCATATTTCATATCCCTGATCGTCCTGGGTATCCCTTTGTTTCTCATTGAACTTGGGATGGGACAACGGTTACGTCAAGCGTCGATCGGGGTCTGGAACGAGGTCAGTCCATATTTGGGTGGAATAGGTGTGACGTCGTTAGTCGCGTCCTGTTTCATCTCCATTTACTACAACATGATCGTTGCCTGGTGCTTCTACTATCTCTTCATATCCTTCCAAGATCCCCTGCCGTTCCAGGATTGCCCTACCAATGACTGGGGTAATGCGACCGACCCAGAGTGCCACGTTGCAGGAGAGACCTCGTACTACTGGTACAGGAAAGCCTTGAATCTCTCGCCTTCCATAACCGAACCTGGCGAAGTTCAATGGCATTTGGCGTTGGTCTTACTCCTGGCTTGGCTGATTGTTTTCTTGTGCACAATGAAAGGCGTTAAATCCACCGGCAAGGTAAACTCAGTTTTCGTATGCAAAAAAAGAGCCCGTTTAAACTTGCGATTCTTACTGCAAATTTGTTTGCGATTTTCTTCTTTTGGTAGATGTGAAGGAGTGAATTAATTGATGTCAAATAAGAGCTCTTATACATCAGGGGCCGGTTGTAGCAGGCCCGTTTAGCTTAAACGGTGGATAAGTCAAAAATATATTATATATAACACTCTTACATCTCTCTTGAATGAGTCAACTTGAATATTATGCATTGAATATGTAGTTGTAAACAGTATCTTTGTATTAACGTCAAAAACATTTAGTTCGCTTGTTGAATAAAACGGCAGTCGGCAGACTTGCTTTCTATTTTGAACTTAACCACCGTTTAAGCTAAACGGGCTTGATACAACCGGCCCCAGAGCATTCGTAACTAATTCACTCGTTCACATCTATTAAAAGGAGAAAATGACACGTAAAATTGCAGCGAAAATCGCAAGTGTAAACGGGCCTTTAGAGTTGTTCAAAAGTAAGAGCACTCATACATCAGAGCTTTCGTAGCTATAATTACTCGTTCACATCAATCAAAAGAAGAAAATCGAAGCTTTTGGAAACAAATACGAGGTCTCACAGCTCACTTGTATTCTCAAAACGTTTTGGTTTATTTTCTTTTTCCAGGCCGTCTACGTAACCGCGCTTTTTCCCTATGTTGTCCTCATCATTTTTTTCTTCCGCGCTGTGACTCTGGATGGGGCTGGGGAAGGCCTGAAACGAATGTTCACGCCAAAGGTAAAAATATTCACGTGATTCCTGCATGCACGTTGAGTGTTTACAAATGGGAGATAACATAAAAACATATAGTGCTTAATATTCAATTGATTCCTTCACCAAATCAGACCAAGATAGCCGATCTTAACTGCTCCTTCCTTCATCCTTCAAGTTTTAGAATGGTCAATTGTGCATGCATTTTCGGTACATAAATCTCCTTTTAAACATTGGAAAACACCTGAAATTGTTATTTCTATGTGAAGCAATGAGCAATTCACAAGAGCATGTATTTTGCATCTATGATTCCCGAGAGAGTACTCGACTTTTCATGCATTTGTCATGAAAATTTTATCGCCGACCGTTTCCATTTTTCATTTTAACGCTCAGGCCCTCGAAAGCGTCTCGAAATGTGCGTAGGTTTTCAAAGTTATTCATCAACGGAAAGGCGCGATAATCTTTCCTTGCAAACGTTAAAAAAATCTATCGTATTTTTATTTAATATCCTGCGATGTTTACGTTTGCCTATGGTAGTATATAATGACTTTAAGAAACGTTATTGGAAAATGATGAATTAATTCGTAAATCATCTCACAAAATATTGCTTAAGGCTTCTATTGTAATTGATTAAACAAAACGTCAGAACTCGTCAGACAAACGTTTTCACGATAGCTGGAAAACAAACAACGCGACTAAAGACATCTGCGGAGATTTGGATTTGGGGCAATTCTTTCTACTTCAAAATTTGCACTATAAAACCATCGATACAATAAAATCCTTTTCCGGATCGCCCGACCTTCTCGCGTCCGGAAGTTTTAAAGGCTATTCTCCATTACCGTTCGCTGAATAGATGAACATCTGTCCCAATCATATGTTGACTTACCCACGTTAAACTCGAAAATATTTACAAACGTCGTATTGAGAGCGAAAACAAGTAGCTACATATATATTGGTTCACGCTCATGAACAGAAAGACGAGGGAAACGTCCGAATGTGCGCTCACCACGAAGAAGTTAGCGTTCCAGATTGCGCTGAAGAGATTGTGATTCATTGCTATATGTAATTGACTAGAACTACCGAGTGCTTTGGGAATCATCCAAGAAGGAAATTTCGACTGCAACGAGTTAAAATCAGCTTTGCCGAGGCTTTGAATGTAAAGTGGAGTGGTCGCGTTTGATGTAGGGAAATCAAGATTGTGCGACCATGATGATGGATCAATTTAACCATTCCTTGTTCAATTCAAGTTTTTACCCAACTGATTTTGGCAAGGTGACTGCTAATGTGTACATCATTTGTGAAATAACCTTGGCGTCGCTGGCACTATTGTTTAATTCTACTCTTCTGTTTGTTTTGTACAAAGATCCGCTCAAACGATTTCGGGATTCGTTTAATATATTTTTAACAAGTTTAACGTTTGCAAACACATTGACCGTTACATCCTTACTTCTGTCCAAAGTTCTTCCGCTCGTGACATACCCGCTTCCGGCCGTCGCCGAAGCAGTGCTCGGCAGCGCTCTCGTTTCCGGGACACAGTCATCGTTTCTGGTCGTGACCTGTATCACTCTCGATCGCCTGGTAGGCGTCGCGTTTCCGTTTCGCCACAAATCTCTCGTGACCAAGCGTCGCGCGTGTTTTGCGAATCTCGCGATTTGGTGCGTGTCGATCTCACTCGATCCAATCCTCTATAGGCAGGTCATGTTTCGCGTCGCGTGGTTTCAATTATACGCCGCTGAAATACTCTGCCTTTGTCTCATCAGTCTGATTGTCTATCCTATTACGCTCATGAAGTTTCTCCGGGGTGAAGCCCGCAGGACAAAAGTTATGTCGCCTAGCAAGTCATGGCGCGCAGAGAGACTCACACGGAAACGTCATCTGACGTGTACAGTTCTTTTAATAACCGTTACCATGGTAATATTCACAGTCCCATACATCATCCTAAGCGTGTTTGTCTGGATTGATTGTATTGGCTGTCTTTTGGCCCCGGCATTCCTGGAACTACTCGTTCTTTATCCCATCGTATATGCTGGCCATTTTGGACTCAATCCTTTTATTTATGCATGGAGGCTGCCCGACTACAGACGTTCGCTAGTCTCCTTGGCTTGCATGCGTCAGATTAGATCAAACCAGATCTAATCGTTCGCCTTTAGCTGATAAACAAGTACGATCGTACTATTGGACCAGGAACTGGTGAAGTATAGATTCAATCTTTCTCTCCAGGATGAAATTTCAAATATCTATGAACCTAGGCAATCTTGCGGTTATGTTAAAATTATCGCTTTTCTACAGTTTTCATCTGCCTTTTCAAAGACATTTAAAATATGCCGAGTTGCACATCTATGTCCTAATCTATGCCGCTGTAGCTGGCGAGAAGCTAGCGTTGCGTGCACCGTGCCACTGTCATTATAGTCGTTTTTTATGTATATGTATGCTGGGCAAACCCTAAACAAATAAATAAAAAATAAGAAATGGCCTAGAGAGAAACGCATTTAACGCAATGGTCCTATAGTCATGAATATATATTGTGTACAAAACAACGAAAATACACGACCTTCTAGCTTGAACTCATAGGATATGAATATTAATAATATCAAAATTTGCCTCCCGCTACAATCTGACATGGCTTGCAAATCTTCTGCAGAATACAAGCACAAACAATTTAACTCCGTAAGTCGATAGAGAATAACCTTTAAGATAGTTGTGTGAAGTTTTATCACGATCTGGTGCGAAATGACGAGCCTTAGCCATTCGAACTTGCTGTTATGCTCATACTAATGAATATATCTATACGCATACTACGCTACTATTTTGAGTTGCTTCTAAATTTCTTTAAAATAAAAAAATCAAAATTATAACTCCGTCAATCGATGGGGAATATCGCTAAGAATAGTTGTGCGAAGTTTTATTGCGATCTGATGCGAATTGACGGAGCCTTAGGCTTTTTTAAAGAGCGTCACCCCCTAACAACAACAACAACAACAACAACAACAACAACAACAACAACAACAACAACAACAACATCCATTCAGATGTACGTACGTTAATTGTTTTTAAAATATCTGAAGCAAACGTCAGCATAGCTACGTCATCAGCTAGTAACCAAACAGTCGTTGTCAACTAATACCAACCAGAGCAATTCTTTAAGAGGCCCAATAAGATGAAGCACTTGTAATTTGTGTCATCGTCGTTGATTAGAGCTTATTTGTATTGTATTGTATTCTATTAAGTATAAATGTACCTCTTGACACGATCTTCAGCACTTCAAAAATGCTTGATTGCATGGTAATTGGCTATAGTATATATAATAGGTATTCAAAATGTATTTCTAACAACGAATATATTTGATCTTTTAATTTGAACAACATTTTATATTTCATTTTACCGCATGATACGGCTCCTCTTTTCCTCAGAAAAATAGTAGAGACTTTTGGTTGGGCGAAATCTTTCTCTTAGCGCGCGAACCACCCTGTCTTTTAAAAAATCATAAGCACTCCTCCAACATCAATATGTTTGTCATTAGTTCGAGGAACTGGGTAAGGCAAGAGTTTGGCTGGAGGCTGCGACGCAGATTTTCTTCTCTCTAAGTTTATCATTTGGTGGTCTGATCGCGATGGCGAGTTTCAATCCAGTGAAAAATAACTGCAAGAAAGACGCCATCATGGTGTCGCTCATCAACTGTGGGACCTCCGTGTTCGCCAGTATCGTCGTTTTCAGCGTTCTTGGATTCAAGGTAAGGGGTAAAATATAGCAAGGTGGGCAGGGGGGAGGTGGCTAGGGAAGTGAATTGGCGGGGGGGGAGGAGAGTGACAGAGGGGTGAGTTGGGCAGGGGGGGTGCGTGAGGTGGGCATGGGGGGGGGGTGCGTGAGGTGGGCATGGGGGTGAATGAGGGAATACCCTCAACATTGGAATCTTTTAATTAGCTTTAGTTTTATACATACAGTCTATAGTTTTGTTAATGCGGGGTGGGGGTCATTTCAGGACAGACCATTTTCTGAGGGCACACCACTGGAAATGAGGGAGTTGAGTGGAGTGGTCCCCGTACACGCTTTGTGAAGAAAGTAATTCCTAAAATGTAATTTCTTAAGGTAAGGTAAGGTAATTTCTTTTTCCAGGCCAAGACTGCGCTTGGGGAATGTTTGGATGAAGAAAAAGCAAAAAATCTAACAGCCAACTCTACTTGTAAAAGCCTTGACGAGTACTTGAGTGACGTACGTATCTAAGCAGAGAGTTGTTTATCAAATACTTAAAGTCTTGGTTATCATAAACCTCTGTGTTTAATGATCCTGTACAGGTGGCCCAAGGAACTGGATTGTCATTCATCGCATTCACTGAAGCAATAACGAAAATGCCAGCCCCACAAGTTTGGTCTGTGCTGTTCTTCCTTATGTTAATAACGTTGGGAATGGGCAGCATGTTCGGTAATATTGCTGGGGTTGTCTCGCCAATCCATGACTTGGGTTTACTGAAGATCAGAAAGGAATTCCTCACTGGTATGTATGCCACTGAACTCGTTGCAATGACTGGATGGTATGTTTGCTGCTCATAAAAGATGTAATAATCGCAAAGGTTTTAGGCCGGTTTTCCACTATCGATAATTTGGGCAAGCGACGTTTTTCATTTGTTTCCGATCTCTCAACTGCAACCAACTGGAACAAAATTGCTCAAATACAAAAGAAGGAAGTTGCATCGTGCGAATAAAATCGCTAGTGCATGGAAAACCGGCCTAACAGAATACGCGACTTATTAAAACCAAACCCTAATCCATGGTATAACCTATTACTAAACCTGATTCGTGGAAAGAACTAGTATAAGAGCCTAACTAGACCATTACTAAAACTGAGTAGATTGGCAGCAATGCCAGCCTCTGAAATGTTCCCTAATGATTTACGCTGTTTTTTAACTCATTTTTAGCAATTATGTCTGCAGTTTTATTTTTAATTGGCCTGCTGTTGTGCCAGAATTCAGGGGAGTATTGGCTGCAACTTTTCGATTCTTACTCCTTAAACCTCGCGCTATTGTGGGTCGCCTTTTTTCATCTCATCGGCATGAACTTTTTTTACGGTACAGAAAGGTATTTATATAAAACTTTTTTTTTACTTTTTTTTTCACTGTGAATTCATGTTATGTTCAATGAAATCCGTCTTTTTTGGGGGGTCATTTAGGAAAGATGAGGAGCTTTTGGGGTCATTTAGGGGATAATTAGGCTATTATTACCAATGTGTTATTATCATTGCACAGTGACCTAATGCAAGTTTTTTTATTACAAATTTTGACAATTTTGACAATTTTGACAATATTTTCCGATCAGACAGGGCTTATATTATACTTATATTATACTTATATTATACTTATATTATACGTGTTATGAAAGGGGGATTATCAATGAAGATTTTTGGATAGCAGTGTTGAACAGGTGATGTTATCAGATTTCACGATATGTCTTGTTAGGTTTATGGGTGATATTGAGTTTATGACTGGTACAAGACCTGGACTGTATTGGTTGATCACTTGGCGGTACCTGGGTCCAGTACTTGGCGCTCTTCTCTTCTTTGCTGGCCTTTATGACATGGGTAAAGATGGAATTGGGTACTCCGTTTGGTTGAAAGATAAGGTAGCCGACTTCGAAACCGGTTTTTATATGTTAGTTATGCAAACTATAGTTTGAAAATAAACAACTGCCATTAAACATAGATTATTATCACTCACTTTTTTACTCTCCTACTCGCGGATACGTTAAAAAGGTTTCCACGTATTTTGCACCATTTTCGTTGTTATTTTCTGACCATAGTGATTATTAAAAATTAAAATGAAAGCTTTTCAAAGTCATTTCTAAAGTATTATATTCAGTGGAGATTTTCCAACCTTTTTCATGCCAATTTGTCGTTACAGTACATTTAATTGAACTGAATGCTGTTTTCTCAGTTCATCGGTAACCTCGTTCTTGCCCATCTTTTAGGGTAAGACAGAGAGGATCGATTTTCCGGCATGGGGTGAGGCCATGGTCATCATATTTGTCTGTTTCGCGCTAATTTGGATCCCTCTACTGGCGATTCTTCGCTTCTTCGGACTTTGCTCGTACAAGGGCAGGACGACGGATCATCGTTTCCAGACGACCACTTCAACACTTGAACTTTGTAATCAAGAAAAACAAGATTTCGACAGCAAATTGTAAATAAAATGTAATGTAAAACTTCCTTGAAATAAAATCCGCGAAAAAATGAACTTGTATATATATATAGGTATAGCCTGTATATATTATACGTCTGTGCACAGCCTAGTATAGGTATAGCAAATTTTTGGCGGCTTTTTTTTTGCGATTTGCTACCAGCTCGGTGTCAGTGCTTCCTAATTCTTATCGAATAACAATCAGAGTCAATCTCAAGTTTAAAAATACCTTACAAAATGTCTGAGATTGTTTATTTGTTATGAAACAACAGACGCTTTTAATGGCTGGAACGGTTAATTTGCGATAAATTTTTTCACAATTCTTTCCATATAAATATTTCACAATTGCAGCGTGCTAAATCTAGCAGTGACTTTTTTATCCGAGTTTGAGGGATGTCATTATTCTAGTCAATACAAAACAAATATTTGAAATGGTTTTGAATAAGTTATAGCTCTACTATAGAAGCCATTGTCTGCGAAAGGGTTATAGAATGTAAAGCATGCATCATTTGAAGAGGTAAAGATTTGGTTCTTTGTGGATATGTGATAAAACGTAATCTCAAAAAATGGTTATGGGAAATTAAGTAGATCATAATACGAAATGGTTGAAGCGGATGTTAAATTAGTGTAAAACATCTTCATCTTGTTTCAAGAGCCAAAAGAAATCTAACATATTTGAAATACGCTGAACGTGCCCGGACAAAGAATATAATTAGATGTAACTTCCTGCGTTTTGAATGGCCTCGCGGAAGTAAAACGGGTTTAATTTCTCGATTTCGATTTCTCACTTCATAGAGATTAAAGACTAAATTCATGATTCCAGCATCTTGAAAAACCGGAACCTGGAGCCAGGAACCGAAAATTAGTGCTAAATCATCCTGGAGATCTTTCATCAGTCATGCATGCAAGTTCATACTTTGCTTAAACATACTTTGCTTAAACATCATACTTGCATAAACTTTCTTTCTATTCCAACTCCAATGAAACTCCATCTCTCATTCTGGCCTCCTTCCATATAATATTCGATCCCAGTCTTGGTTTTACCTGAATCCATGGCGCCGAATCCTGGTTTTACACATAGCCTTTGTCGAAGGAATTTCAATAATGACACAAAATATTCAGCACACAACAAACGACAAGCACAACAGATCCATTAAGGTGTAATAATATGGGGTGTTTTCAAAGTACTCCTGGTACAACATCTCGCGCGGTACCATTCGGCTATGTACCATATGCTCTTTCACTACCCAGTGCCATGGGGCCTCTGTGGGATTTTCATTTGGAATGGTGGTTCTACGCTGGCTGGGCTATCGACGAGAGTAAAACGAAGAAATTTACAATCTTGGCTCAAACACTGCGTGCGGGGAAGAACGGTTCAATCCTTTATGGTATCGGCAGTGAAGATGGTATATTCTACACAAACGTGAGTCTGCCTGTAGTATCTGGCAAATTCCCATCTCCTACAGACAACAGTTGGTCAACGACAGTTCCGAAGAGTAAATCCAATGGAAAGCAATGGATGAGCTGCAAGCTGACATCTGGGGTGCTGGGTCTGCGAGGTGCCACGTATCAGCTTGATATGGCTGACCCAACCAAAGGTGTCAAACTGTCGCTGAAACTTTGCGATAATATGGGTCTAGTTTTCGAAATGGCGTCCGGAGCCGTGCATACGGGCGACAAAGATCAGTCCTCATACGAGTTTGCCATTCCATCTTTAGCAATTCAAAAAGGGAGCACAGTTACACTTGCAGGTGAAACGACTGAGTTTGGTGATGGAAACATCTGGCTCGATCGACAGACGCTGAACGAACCATCCAGCCGAGTCAAGCCACTTTATGTCGGAAACTGGTTGGGAGTGGTCATGAATGATCATACATCCTACTCTTTCGCATTCTTTTGGCCCGAAAAAAACCCACAGTGGATTGTGGGGAGTGAGCTTCAGCCCCCTGTTAATCCCAAGTCTAAGACGGGGCTTGAGTACCCCTCGTTGCCAAGTTGGGACAAGTTCTCACCGGTGGTTGGCGTGAACGTGTTGGGGCAGGACGACTTCGATTTAAACATATTGGAACCAAATGATCCTCCAAGTTCCCCCCACTGGAAATCCACTAATGACTGGTCAAAACACACCTATTGTTCGGCTTGGCGTCTCAAGATCAGAGACAAAACATACACAATGAAAGCCTTGAATCCGAAGGCAGAAGTGTTCGAAGGAAGCTTTTTCTTTGAGGGGGCTGCCATTATTTATGACGGAGATGACGTCAAGGGATATGCATTTATCGAACAGATGGGGTACAACTAAAGTTTGCTTTGTTTGTATCAGCTTAATATAGTTCTCGTAGCAAACTATCAATCATCATATTTCGCATCACGTATTCTTAAATTGTAGCTTGACACGAATCTTTAGTATATTAATCCAGCAGGTTTAATTTAGAAACGAAACGATTTTTTAGACTACACTGTGATTTTTAAACATGGAAAATATACAAAGCTTAATTTAAGTTTAAATTTCTATTCCTAATTGATAATTTGTTTTACATGTACTTTAAATATAGACATTCACATTTAGAAAGAGATATTTCTAATCTATTGTGAGCATAGACATTAATAATACACTATTCTGTGATTATTTGATATAATGTTTAAACGACTAATAAAGATAAGAATAATAGCATTACGCTAGTCTCATTGCTAATTCGCAGTATTTTTGTTTCATCTTCAGCCTTCCTATAGCTCAATGCATGCATTCTGGTAAATTCGTGCGCGACACTATTACAGATTGGCAACAAAAGTAAATTTGTTCTAAATAGAGCAATATAGTCAGTGCTCCATGAGGTGAAATTTAATCATAATTGACCATAACAAAAAAGATGGCGGATGTACATTTTACCAGAATGCATTGCGGTCGGAAATCGTTTAAAAAAGACTGGCGTCTTTTAAAGGACAGGCATAAAACAGGAAGTTATTTTCTTCGCTGTGTTAAAATTTCACGTCATTAGGTGTTTTTCTTGCCATCTTTTCTCAGTCAATCATTCTTAATGCCCGCAATGCATTCTGGTAAAATGTACATGCCGCCATCTTTTTCGTTACGGTCAATTGGAATTAACCAGAAGTTCGGTGTTGATATACTGATTTTTTTTAATGTCTTCTAAATGTGATAACATTTGAAAACGATATGCTTTATATATAAAAAATGCTTTATGTATAAAAAATGAATGCTTGGAAGCCACTGGAAACCACAACACAAGGCTTTTTTAAAATCCTTAAAAACGATATGTCTAGCTATGATTTAGATTAATTGATAATTTACTTTAGGTAGCTTCTATCAGATTTCAGCGGCAAATTTTCACATGAATAGGCATCAGTTTTTTCTCGTCATTCACCCGGCAATAATCTGATCTAAAGACGATAAGAGACACGTAATGATATAGCATATATGCATCTAGTAAATCCAATCTTTCATTCAGTAACGCGTTAAACCTGGTTTCCATATTGTCGTGAACCAGCCATTTCACTGATGAGAAATAGTCCTGATATACATTTGTCTTTATTTTCTGTATTCAAATCGGTTATTGTTGGCTTGCACACACCATGCAGTGACGCACACGTAGAAGTATTCTTTTACATCAGTCACCTTGACGTGTTCACGACAATTTTGACTGCATGGAAACCAAGCATAAGCCCGCCGCACACGAGAGCTATTAACTGAGCTAAAGACCACGCGAGGCTGTTAGCTCAGCAAGTTACTCTCATGTGCGGGTAGTTTTTCGTAAGGAATTCGCCTCGAGAGGCAAGTTCCTCACGTGTGCAGATGGTTTTCGGGCCGAGCTAACTGCCTCGCGAGGTCATTAGCTCAGCTGTTAGCTCTCGTGTGGGGCGGGCTTTAATAAGCAAAAATCGTATCCTATCGCGAAAAACAATGTTTAGCAAACTTTTGCCAAGAATATTTGAATGCAACACCTTCTAAAATGTTCTGGATAGTTTGTGGTACAGTTGCCTCGCCCTAGTCATGGGATTTTTCAAATCGTTCGCGTCGACAAACGGTGTTTCTTTGTTTCACACCTTCACCCAGAACTAGACGCCGACGCTCCTTTTTGTACGCTGCCGATGGCGTGAGTCACTGCGTCAGCGGAAGGTCACCTCCAATGGACATGCACATTTTAGCATATACTGCGCGCGCTTTAAACTCTACCAATAGACAATCAAAAGACTCTTTCCAACTAAAACATTACAAGTATTGACCTTTCTTGAACGAATTTTTGTACAACCGCATTTCTGATGCTAATTTCACTTTCAATAACTTTCGATAACTTTCAATAATAATAAGAGTCCGAAGGATGTTCTCAATGCGTACATACCTTTTTATGACATTCGTGCACTTTTTCACAAGTCTAGCATCGCTTGGATTCCGTAGATATGAATAAAATGTGTCGTTTCTGCATTCTTGTGTTTTTCTATTCATTTTGATACGAGCCAATGCCATTAGATTGATGTGATATACGTTACACACACATTTCATCCTGTTATCACGATGTCAGGACTCAGGAGTGTTTGTTTAAGTTGAAGTGTCCTGATAATGTGGATAAATTAATAATTGTATATGCATGGTTTATATATAACGAGTCGTGGTTTTAATAAAAGTTTGTAGCCGTGCGATTTTGAGTCATTGCCAAACGACAAACTGAACCACACATGTTGAAATGTTGAAATGGACGTGAGTAATAACACAACAATGTTAGGGGGGAAAACATATGCACACTCCACTTCGACGACTGTTTAGTTGAATGACTGACTGACTGAGCTGTCCAAATTTGTTTATTCATCCTATCTGTAGTATTCATCAGATATTTTGCCCACTCATCCATATGAAATGTCCCGTCTGCAACTGTTCATGCCTAACAGCTCATACTAAAACAACGTCGGGCAGACAGCGTGGTATATTTTTCCCAAGCTACGAATAAGCATAAGCTATAACCTGCGCCACCAGTGCACTGCCTGATACACCCTGCTATCAGGGCCCCCGAGTGTGTCTACAAACACGTCTTCTTCAAAGACTTGCCGCCATTGTTTAGCGAGTTAAATAAATGTAACTTTTAAGGTCTGTGATTGAACGAACTCAAAAACAACTTTAACAACTCTACAGGGGAAAGTATTTCGAGCACCTAATTCTTGAATATATACGATTTTGATACACAACCAAAAGTAGTTTGCGGAAAATGTAACGTGTAATGCATCAAGTTGACCAATTGTATTTTTTGTACTGATTTGTTCTAAAGTGAATTCTTGTTGAATTGTACATTTAACACACTTCTTTTGATAGATGTGAACGGGTGGATAAGTTACAGATGCTTACATAAGACCATTTATATATCAGTGTCTTCATAACTACTCGCTAGAACTCGCTAGTTTTCATCAATGAAAAGAGGAAAATCGACTCTACAACTGCAAATGTAACTGTGTGAGTTGGCCTTTATAGTCATTCGATTTAAGCAGAAGGCCTTTTCAATACCACCCATTGAACTAGGGTTGTATAACACTGTCGGAAACCGGACTTGGTTGTTGTGAAATTGATAAGCAACTTTGAACTGCTTTCCGACATTGTTTGTTCGCCAGATCGATCCTTCCGCCCCCTGTCTTTGGTTATGACCAATTACATGTCATCGCTGTTTACGCGTGCCCAATCAGAAACGTTTTTGTCGAACGCCCAACCAATCAGACACCAGTTGATGCAAGCATTCGACCTATCAAATTGCGTCGCATTGTATAAAAAGAAAAAAGCTTTTGTGTACGCTCATTGGGAGTTAAATTTGCTCAGAATTCGAACGCAGCAGGTTCAAAAACCGTAAAGGGCACTGCAAACCTTTTAAGACCTACAGCGAACGACGACACGCGAAATTTAAATCTGTTGGAATAACACGTTCAACTACAAGTAAAGCGACCTTTATTTCAGCAATATTTTGAAGAAGTCGTAGCATTGTACAGAATATAGACCACATCATGCACGACGCGGTCAGTCGCAACGCGAGAGGAGAAAATTTGAACTCGAAAAGACATGCAAGGCATTTTCCGGATGGCGTGTCGTCAGAGCAAAGCAAGAACACAAAGAAGCGTCCGTTGGTGTTTAAAGAGAATACGACGCCGCTTAATCCGACCCTTTCTGACTTCAACCGCTATTCGTTTCCATTGTCGGCTTGCTCGCCAAGTGGAAAGCCTAGCAAGACCTTTTCAGACGCTCTGAACGAGAGCATCAACTTACAGCGGCAGGAAAAACGAGCCGTCTCGCTTATGCCCGAGATTTTACTACACTCTGCCGTTTTGGATAACAACGTTGAGGACATTTTAAAACTTATCAAGGTTGAAGGTGTTGACGTGAACCGAGGCGCTCAGCTGGGACTATTTTCGCTGCATCACGCCGCGTTCTCGGGAATGGAAGAAGTCACAGAAATTTTGGTCGAAAACGGTGCGGATTTGAACATTACAACTCCCGAGGGATTTACTGCACTCGAGGCGGCTGTTTGCGCAGGCAACTTCGAATGCGCAGAAATCCTGATAAAAAACGGTGCGCCCGTTGACAGCATCAAAGATGGATTTGTTGACCGAAGTTTTTGCAATTTCGTCGGCGGTAATTCGGTGTCAGCGTAAACAGGATACACGGAGGTCCTTCGCTCACGGTGGTCAGAGCAAGCATGTCGAAGCTTTGGGAAGAGTTTCGGCCGAACCCTCAGAGGTAGCATAGTCATACGCGCTAAATTCTCCAGCATAGTCACACGCGCTAAATTCTCCGGTTCACCACCGACAAGTCCTAATGCGATAATTGCGTCATAATTACCGCTAGAACTTTAAAATGAATACAATTCCATATCTGCTTGTTTACGTTTCGAAGCGAGGCGATTACTGTTAAATTTACGACCAGTATATATGGAGATGGCATCTTGTTTAGTTAGATCATCTTGGATTATATAATCACTTAAAAAAGGAAGGATTAACATTTATATTTAGGCATTTTTTTTAACTTGAAATTGTTTTCACGCAAAAACATCTCAAGTAGCTGGCCTACACTCATGGCCCTTCTGTAGCGATTTTTCTCATAAACAAAACGAACTCGGTTTAATTAAGTAGTTCTGGCTGTCTGAGGAGATTCGTTGAATTATTTAAAATTATTGTTTGAATTATTCGTGAAATTATCTTAATTTTTCGACAAACATTTTATTTATCGTCTTGTTATTTTTTTCAACCCAACGTGCCTATTTGCATGAGTTTATTATTAGCTGTTTATTTGTTTTTTCATGTTCAGATGATTATATAATCCTCGATGCATTTATCGTGCAATGATCCGGCCTTACTTCAAGAATTAAAGGATTAATCTTGCAGTAATAACCATATAAAGATTGTTTTCAATCTCTTTCGGGATGCAGCATTACGTAACCCAAAAATGAGGTCAAAGAGGTTGAGTCCGCTATCGGAAAATCTTAAATCCGGACTGGATCTCGATCTGAAGAAAAAATTTCGGGTTCACTTTAAAACTGCTTCGGTCTTTGTAATGTTTTAAAGTGTGCGGCATTGCTGATTTCTGAAACAGGATTAACTTGATATGAAGTCATTAGGCCATTGCGCAAAATTTGATTCTTCTTGTTCGCCCTCTTAACGTAAACGCAGACAGACAACACTTTCAACATCTGTGTCATATGATACATTCGCGTATTTAGGTGAAATTGTTTCTGTCTTCGGCAATTGAGGTGAAAATTGTATGAATTGTTATCGCACATACCAATCATTTAGATTAATTTAAACACCACTTATATCATGACGTTGGCAGGGCTGATAAGCGAGGACAGTGCGTTGTATTAACTGAATTTTGTTTGTTTTTTAAATCCCAAAATCATTTGCGTGGTTCCTGCGATTTCGGGTGGTATTTACAACAGACAATTTTCAAGCCAACTGGCTACACTTTATGGCTTTTTTTTCCTTTAAAAGCGTTATCTGCACCGACACAAAAAGACGCATACGCGTCTGAATTAGCTGAACAATAAACCATTTTGTGATCGTAGACTGCTTGTCTATAGCATGGCTTTGTCTTTGTGAAAAGCTTTGTGCAATAGGCCTATTTCTAAGCGCATGAACGAACCATATTTCGTTTCATCCATTAAAAGCTTCGTGGTTTTATGCTTTTTAATCAAGTTGTGATCTTTCGCTGAGATTTACTCTTGATTTCATTGCGATTAAATCGATAGTATAGCACGCAAAGATTTGCGGATTTTCACGGTGTCTGACGAATTGAATTATGCACCACCAATCGCTGTTCACGCGCATTCCATGTTTTGGCAAAACTGTCCTTTCGCACACAGCCTTGCTAGACGGCATGCGATTAGCATTGGACCTGTTAGAAGGTTGTTTTTAACGCGTTCACAACTGTGCATCGCACGTGGGGGTCTGTAATTGCAGAGTTGATTGATGACGAACTTGTTGGAGAACGATAAGACTGTTTTATACGTATAGACACTAAACCTTATTCCCGCGAATTTACATTTGTATTTGGGATATTAGAATGATCTAGAACTGTATACGAACGTCAGATTTTGTTATTGCCGATTTGTAAGCATTCTTTGCTCGTCTGTCTAGCCGACGGTGAAAACACATGTACACTCAGTTCGACGACGGCAAACTGAGATTTATTTAAACGATAGAACTGTTGGATAGATTTGTACATAGTGATAAAAGATGTTATTTATAATTATTAAAGCTTGTTATTGATATCAAAGTGTGTCCTAATTTGCCGTTTTTAATTCCCATTCCTTGTTCATGCAGGATTAAACCATTAAACTTTTTAAACCAGGATTATAAGATCAAACTAAAGATTTAGAAATGCTTATGGGTCACGAGCTTTTTAAGTAGCGAAGTAGCTTCTCAATTTGCTTCTCAAGACTGACAAGAGTAAATGCCGCGCTTAGAAAGTTGTAGACTATATCTTTTTAAATTCTGGGCATATAATACATGCTCAAATTTTATCTTGCCCCAATTTGTAAATTCAGTAACAGCATAATTTTACAGTATTTAGTCAAAAATGTTTTTTTTTTCAAATTATCAATTTTCGTATTCCTTATTGCCATTGGGTTGAAAACTCTGACTAAACGGTCCTCATTCTGTGTGGACTGAAACCTATACTATAGACTATAGTCAGTTTTCTATGCAGGGTTTAAACCCCAGCTCAAAAGCGAGGACAAAAGTACACCATCTGTACCATTCGTCGTATGTGGTTTGGAATGAACTCCTGTGGCACCTAAGACGCTTTCGTATCAATTGAACCCATGCATGCATTCTCAATCTATAGAGATTAGTAACACGATCTGATGGTCATTCAGTTAATGGCATGCTCTGGAAGCATAATAAGATTTGTGAAAATATAAGATGATTTGTTTAATTCATGCCACACGAAAGCTTGTGCAATCTAAGGTCGAACTATACGCTAGCTGTAAACACGACCCGCATGTAGACAAAATAGAGGGAAAAGATATATGGACAACGCATATCGACAGCTCCAAGAACTTTTCCCAGTATTCTTCCTCAGTTTTATTCACTAAAGAGGTTCATTTCTATAGAATCAGTCAATCGTAGTTTATTTTATTCGATCTTACTAAGGGCATTTGACCGTCACCGCCTACACCGCAGCACATGACTGCTCTGCGCCGAAAATACCTGCTCAGTAGAATTTCACGAATGCTTTATCGTCGTGACGATCTCTGGCAAGTAATTTTCGAAAGATAAGGGCAAATTAGCCATCTCTCAACGCTCAACGTTGCTAATCTTGACCTAAATGATAAGGTTATATACGCAGTAATCAGTTCTGCCAAACTGGAGCGACTCTCACCTCGCATGATTTCCGTGATTGTGTGTAAAACACTTTCCTTATCTCATTAACAGTTTTTTAGACATTTTTTTACATAACAAAAATATTAGAGTTTCTAGGAGCCCGCTTTTGGTCGGTGGTAGCTTATTAAATATTGCGGGAGAGGGTTTGGTTCGATCATGATTCAAGCGTCCAGGCTTCTAAAATTTAGGGGCACCAACTAACCTCGACGAGTCGATGTTACAAACTAGTTATTAACTAATAATATTCTATTAATTAACTGAGAAATATGCTAGTAATTAACTAAGAAATTCGTTAAATCTTGGGTTATCTCTCAGGATCATGCGAAAGCTCCTTGGAGCTTGGTCGACATTTTGATTCTAAAACAGACCTAATGAATTGATTTACCATTGATTTTTCATTGCATACATTAGTGGTGGTATGTAAAATCATATTTTTAGCGGTGTCGTAATCGTCTCTCTCTCTGTATTTCCAAACGAAGATCGCATGACGAGTAATATGTTGATGAAAGAATCGCTGATTGAAATACATACAGTACACCATCACGTCAATCAGAGTATGAATCAGATTCTACAAATAGTTTTGCGGTGAAATGCGACTAGAGCTAGCATCTTTTCAGTCTCGATATTCGAGTACAACATCTGTAGAAAGACATCCGTAATATACTGAGGAGTGCGCTTCCAGAAGATAGGACAAGTAGACTCGAAGAATGTGAAGATAGTTGCTGTTTGCGAGGTTCAAAACATTCTGGTTTCCATGCATCGTATTTGCTTTCGCAACGCATGTTATCGGCTCCATTGCCACTTTTGTATGTCATATAGTTTGTTTTTTTTTGACCGAGGAATGTCTGATTAAACAACGGACATATCGTCGGTTGTTGAGCTGTGAGGTGACGAGAATGAACATGTCTCATAGCATTGATTTCCAAGATCATGATGTATGAAAAGATCAATCAACAAGATTAACGGATAAATTCAGGAACCCTTACTTAGAATGAATCATATATTTCTAGAATTTTTGGTGATAAATTTTAGTTTTTTTCTCGTTAGGGGTAACACGGGGTTATAAACTAATCAGATAAAACATACTATATGAATATTAAGTGTCTAAAAATATCAAAAGATTTTTGAACTATATTTAGTGTTAATGTCTTAGTTTTCTTATCTTTTTCATATATCTTTTTAGCCACTTCGCTGCCTTTTCCGTATTAATTTGTTTTGTAGTTTTCTTAATTTCCGCGTCATGATCATTGTTAGTTCGACTTTTTCTGTTGCCGCTATCTTTTAGTACTTCTTTCAACAAATCCTTGTCGTCGATTGACCCGATAAGTTCTTTAACCTGCAGAATAATTTACAAATAAAATTAATATTAAAATAAATACCAATTTCACAGATATACCAGTCTTCAGGAACTAAGGTTTAACGAGTGACGTTTGCATTCGCTGCTGATTCGAAATCAACCGTGCATGTTCTCATGAGATGGAAATTTGATCTTTGAATTTTCGTTCCTTCGAGGTTAAGCATATGCGGTTTTAAAGCGATCACTTATATAGCGCAGCCTCGCATTTTTTTATAGTAGAGGATATCATTAATCCTGTCGATAATATTAATCCATCTAATCTCATACCTCAGTCAGCTTGTCATCTGTTTGAAAGTTTCTTACGATGCTCTTCAAAAGTTCATCCAGCATTGGAGCATTCTCGAACCTAGAAGTTAAAACTCAACGATATCACATCAAACTTTGGGAGATCAACGTCCAATTTTTCCATCACGATTTGGTGTTTTACTCTAAAGAATCGCACGCCGGCCGAATTCGATGAAGAATGAACGAAAGCAGCATTATCCTTTCCCAAACGTACCTTTCCTTTATGATTTTCCAATTGCTTTTGACAAAATTCCAAACTTTGTCTTTTGTCGAGTTCGACTCAAGCTCCTTCAACCAAGAAAGACTGTCTTGAGAGCGAACTTTTGTCATCTCCAAAGTGTTTTGTAAGTTCCTGGAAGTTTAATGATCCACGGTTAGTAATGGCGACATATGTTCTATACGCTCAACAGCGTGCTGTAATTTTTGGCTTATTCGAATTCAATGGGTTGGGAAAATATTCGGGGGATTCTGAATTTCGGGCTTGAATAAGGAGACTACTTCCTATAACAACAAAACAACAAAAATCTTATATTTCGGTGTAATCTTGAAAGCTGATTGATGATTATGGTAAAATTTTTGAAAGCTGGGATGCTAATGATGCTAATTGGTCGGTCAGGTTGTTGAATGTGTTGCAATGCAGTCGTTTATCTTTCATGCAAAATTCCTCGTTTTTTATCAGCTCTGATATGCCTTTGTTTGATTCACAAGTAATTATTTGGTCTGTCCGACTAATTGAGTGCATGCTGATCGATAATTATTAAATGGATGGATATTTATTGCACTTGTTTTTCGAAAGCATGGAACATCTCTCAGCAGCGCTATCCAGCTTACTTCGTAAATAGATCAGGTTTGTCAAACGAAACCAAGGAGCTTCTCAAGAATCTTCTATCTGCATCACAAGGTGATCTCTGGTACAAATTCCACAAATACTCCCAGTCGTCTGGGTCCTGTTTATTAAAACCATGTTCCAAAGCCAAGCGTCGAATATTCGGACTCACATTCTTTGGTGTTGCTCTATATAAAAAAAGGATTTCAACTGAAAGATATAATCCAGTATCCTGAACAAATCCTCCACATGGGTGGACAAATCATGATCCATTGTTTCCTGAAGAGCGAAAAGAACCACATATGCGGCCATATATCCGCTGAGGCTGGCGAATAGCTTGAATTCACGGCTGAAGTCCGTCGAGATTTTCTTACCCAAAATCTTTACTCTTTTTCATATTCCTGAATATTTTCTCGAACTTCTTCTTGACGCGAGGTCTGTGATGTATTGCTTGTTGTATAGCATAGTAACGATTCATCCTACAAATATGGCATGCACCAAAAGAGTGATGATGTTTCATATTATCCCTGATTACCATACGAAAAGCAAGCATGAAGTTTCTTTACAATTTGTAATAGTGCAAAAATCTTCCATGTCCTGTATAATAATGATAACAGGTCGTAACTTATGGAGTTCAATGAATTGACCGCGATAAGAGGATTTCACAGTTGCACAATTGTTTCCGTTTTAACAGCTAAACGTTTTAACCAGAGCATGCAGGTGAACCGATCAGTTTTTTTAACCTTATGGCTTTTAAATAATGCTGAGTAGATATAACGAAACTCTTAACAGCTCTTTAGAATAGATGAAACTGTATATGTATTCCATTTCTTACTGGTCTAATGTTCCTCCTTTGTCCTCCAAGCCAAGTTTTTCCAATAAATGCTCTTGTAAGTACCATATGTATTCCTTGTAGAGTTTTCTTAAACTAGCAGTTTTAAAGTGCTTTTCCAAACACTTCGATTTTTGTCGGAGCATTTTCATCGGAACAAAATGGTCTTCTTTTGGCATGTAAATGATAAGTTTCAGAGGTATGGTTGCATCCAGTATACCTTCACTAGAATGTATTATAGAAATATTTATATAGGAGCAATATGCAAATCCATTAATGTCATGCAGACAGAAATACCTAGGAATTAAAAAATTAAAAGAATAAGAAATATTGGAGCTAATTTTTGAACCCAAACTTCAAAGAAAAGGCAACCTCCTGTTTTATGTCTGTCCATCATGGAGCCATTTAGTTTTTTTAAACAATTGAATTAATGTCCGCATTCCAACCGCAAACACACCTGGTCAAATTATCTCGTTCACTATCAACTTACCATGCTAAAACAAAAGCGTCGTGAATGAGACCAGCTCTATCTGATGGTGAAAACACCTTTGAAAGATTAGTTGAACATGTCAGACAGTTTTCAAGCGTAACGTGCAAAGTGAAAAAAGATATGAGGGATATCATAGGTTCATATGCGGACATACCACATGGTAATTTTTTAATTGTTTGATGAGTTTTATCCAGTTCGCTTTGTCGTAATTGACGATGTAATATCCATTTGCACGTACGTTCGCTTTTATCCATCCCACTGGATCTAAGACACTCAGCTTTTCTAAAATACAAAGCATATATTAGGCAATTCTGTGGTTATGGATACACCGTACACGAAACTAGTCTCCTTACACATACTGTAGGACACCCACGGTATATGTGTCACATAGTAAGGCGTCGTAAACAAAAAGATTAATTTTTTACAGTAGTAAAGTGCATGTGCTTTGTGTCATTATATAAAGACTTTTTGAAGGACAAAGAGCCATTTCCGGAGCCATGCATTTCTGTAGAATAATTTGAAACGTAAACACTGATTCTTCAACGGTTGTGGAGGAAGACCTCAATTGAACTGTATGAGCTACTGTTCGTTCACTCAGGATTGGACGAATTTGGTCCGTTTTTCTCGTGTTAATACGTAAAATCGGTCAAATTTTTGTCCATTTTAACCTGATGGACAGACAATTCGAGCAGTGTCCCAAATTAGTCCGGTCTTGTGTAGCCTAAGTCTTTAGGCAAACGACACAACTAAGTAGTGCGGTAAATTGAAAGATATACATCATACAGCGTCCTATGAAATCGAAAACCGATAACACAGGCCGCTAATTCTTACCCCATTTTTTATCCAACCAAACAGTGTATTCTTTAAATGCCGTTGATTGCACTGTGTAGGTCAGTGGAATATGCCACAAGCTGGAATTGAAAAAATCACGAGTCCATTTTAAACAAACGCGAATCCAGTTTTCTTACAGTATTCCTTCACTCGTGACCCAACGAATTTCTGACGATACTAATTCGGAGGCTGTAGGGAGCCAGTTGAAACTCAGGGGAAGGAATTTCAGCGTATATTTCAAACAAGGCAAATATCGGGAGAGTTCACTTGTAAACAAAGCACTTTTCTTTTTCGTAATTCTCGCCTTGGAAAGAATGGGAGGTGCCGGGGTGGGACTTCTCCCATAGTGATGGCGCCTTTCTGAGTTCGTGTCTTTGTCAGTGCAGTCTTATCTGAGATTACTCTCTCTACTACAGCGTTTAATACGATCAGCACAGGTATGCTCAAATTTGTCCTTGTCACCAAAGAACGGATGGAATTAGTGAATTCACTCAATTAGGTTTATTGTAAGTGGATAAAGTACGCATGAAGTCTCAGGAAATTTCGCAAATATTTTTACATAAAAAAATGATCAAGGAGATAACTACGTGAGTGACTTCAAAACAAAAAGATTAACTGATATCATCGTTTGCCCGTTCGACGTTTTTAACCAGAAAGATGGATTTTAGTTATTTTAAAAATGTGTGAAGTATGTAAAACCTGCCAGTTAAATAATATCAGTGTTCGCATTAATAACGGGTATAATACCTTCCTGATATTTTTTGCCATTCTTTGTAGTCGCTTTGTTCTGAAGATTTGTTTCCAATCGTCTTACTATCTGGCTTATCGTTGAATAATGGCCGTAGTTTGTGTTCTAGGAAGCTTTCTTGCTTGGTCAATATCAAATCTTTTTCGGGTCCTTTTAAACGCTTCAGTGTGACAATAGGAAAACTTTTCTCTTCCATCCACGATTTCATCAATCGCAATAAATCAAGGCGTTTGCCAACCTTCACGACATTCAGAGACAGTTCAACGTATTTAGGTTAAGGTGGTTATTGCAAATACTTAGTGGTTACTGGCTCATTGATGCTGCTGTGAGGGTAGATGAATTCAGTGCAGAATCAAGTTCTGTCGATATCAGCTTAAAATGTGCTATGCCAGATGTCGATATCAACTTGAATTTCGTTCTGAAATATCAACGTCTTTAAAAGACCTAAATCCGAACTAGACAGACCTCTCTTATCATTACTGAGAATTAAATCCAAGTCAGTCAGTGAGACTCGACAATCACGTCTAAGTTCTACGTATCAAATGATACGCCTCAAATGACTCTCACCTTGCTCAGAGCCGTCCATAGATCAGCAGATTCAACATTTCCATATTTGTTTTCACGAAGATATATCTATAAATAACAACTAAGTCTTTTCACACATTAGATTTCACCATTCCGGCATACTTGTTTCTTTTTCGGTAATTGATATGGAACGACTTCTGATGGCTCTGCACCACCCCCCCCGCCCCTCGGCCTTTCCAACCCCCCGTACGTCGACGACCATCTCATTTTCTAGGAAGGAAAACTAGTCTTTCCTGGAAAACTCACCTTCAAACCCTCTAAGAAGGCAGAATTACCAAGTGTGTTCATCAACATCTTTAAAATCATTGGTCCCTAAAACGGATTTATAAGATAAAGCTTTTGGTACGCACAATAACCAGTTATTCACTTTCACACAACCAGTCATTTTACCTTGCCATAAATACTAGAAAAAACGGTTTCTCTGTATTTTGGTTGTGATATCGCGTGAACTAGAGGAATGGTACTTTGTTTCCCATCCTCCTCCAGTGCATTTTCCCATCTCATTGTTGACAAGGCCAACTATAAAAGCAAATATTTGCTGTTCATTATGGGTTTGAAGATCAGGTTTTAATATTACTCTTAGTCTCAACGATAATCTCATCTAATCTTAACTCCTATCCTTATCTCAACTTGAATCTCCACAACAATCTCCTGATCTCAATTCCAATCTTAATCTCGACTGTAATCTCAGTCAAACTTAACTCTCATCCTAAACTCATTTTTACTTTCACCATGATCCTAACCCCTACCACAATCTTATTCCTAATCTAACTTTACTTCTCATAATAATCCTCAGTCCCAATTCTAACTTTACTCCCAACATTAATCCACAAATCCAAGGATGATCGGATTATGCTACCTGGTCAGTCTCCTTGTCAATATTATAACATGCCAAATATGCAAAGAACGTCGCAAATCCTTCGTTCAACCATAAATCATCCCACCATTTCATCGTTACCAAATTACCAAACCACTGCAATTAATAAAAATACTT